ATTTGCTTAAATCTAAAATCCTTTATTCAAGTAAAATAAACAATTGCTTTGGTGAAGAGCTAAAGTTTCCTTAAGATATTTCTAAGAACATGTACATTTTCGTATTTGAAAAATACTTTATATCGGTATAAGTAAATATGTTATTAGTGATATCTGTCGAATAAATATTCACTGTCTCTTAGATATTTCTTCTCTCAGTGTGCAAGAAACCCTGAAAGTCTGCCAGAAACATCCAGCAGGCTAAGTATTATAAAATTGACGCTTTCACTGTGATTTTCACGAAAGTCGGCAAAAATGAAAATGAGGAGCCGTACGCATTCGTGGCGTAACTCCAGACTGAAGTTGCGATTCATATTCAGCACGCTCGAAGAGGGATTCCGACGCAATTTGAGAAAAGCCGGCGTGCGTCTCCGCTCGCGGGGGCGAATCATATCGCCGGGCAAAATAATACAAATCCCCGTGTATTTTTATGAATCGTTTCTCCCGACGCGGCTTATTTAAATAATAATAACGCGAGAGTCGGTCGAGAGAATTCGACCGCAACCAAAGCCGCGGAAAATTAAACGCAAGCCCGAGCAGTACAGATGCGTGCGCGCGCGCGCGCGTAACCTGAACCGTACGTGCTTTATTTCGGCCGAACTTTTTTATGGCGCAACTCTACCGTGCGGCACGCCATTTGTTCCTTCCCACAAGTCCCGAAACTCTCACAACGAAGGGTCGAAAAATTGTGTTCGGCCCGATCACGCATAGTATGTAACAAATAAACCGCCCCGGCTGCTCGTTGCAACACTTCCCGATACATTTCATTACATTTAAATACATACATGTTGCATGTATACATGTGTGTTACCGTGCAACGGTTAACATCACAATGCACGAAGATCCCTGAATTTTCGCACTTATCAATATTCATCTACGGAACGCATGCGGACTTGCTTTTATTTGTCAGTTGAAGCTTGTCAAAATTAGTAAAACTTTTCCTTCGACATTTGCATTCATCCGAAAAACTTTCATCCTACTCTAAATTCGAATCTGAGCATCTTAGTTAAGGGAAATTTGAAATAACGACAATTAATCCAAGCCTTAGATATTTAATCATAAAATAAAAACAAGAGGAAAACAGCAGAAAATGTTTTGCGCGATAAATAAAATTTAAAAGATCAGAAACGCGAGGTTAAATTTAATGAATTAAGGAATTTTAATTTAATCTAAATTAAAACACTAAATTAAAATATTTTTAATAAAGTAACATTTATTTAGTTTGAAATTAAAATTAGAACTTTATTCTTATCATAATATTGTGCATCACAAACACTTCGGTTTTATTTTCGACTGTTTTCAATGTGTTATTATACAGCTGACGCTGCTTCCTGTGCTACAACTCTATGTAGGACCATTGCACGCATGAATTGCGAGCTTTTTAGACATTTATGCTTTGTAATAATTTTTCGCTTTTCCTCCCACACTGCCTGTGTCGTTTCCTCAAGCATGGCTGCGCTCGAGAGTTTCAGCTCCGCGATAATTCACATATTTCATTCTCGATAATATCGCTATATCATAATATATTGAAAAGATTACATAGCAAAATCAAAATAATTATAATACACAATATTATATCAAAAACAAACTTTTAACTTAACGTTTCCATTTGCATCAGAATCTTCGCACATCCGATTCTCACGAGTCTTTCTTATTTTTATTTCGTAAATAAATAATTTTATATTATTTAACAAAATATATTATGTAAATTATATATATAATATATAAAATAAATATATAATATATAAATTTTATACAATATTTTTTAGAATATAATAAATTGTCTCTTCTCACAGGATAAAAAACAAAAAAGATAACCATGCATTGAATGCATATTGAACATTTTTCTCTATACATTTTCGTTCTCTTTCACTGCGACTCACTGATTACAATTCCGTCTCCGAAAGCAGACGGAAGGAATCGATTAAACCGCAATTAATTCTATCCCTCGTGGGCGTTCATGGTGACGCGACGTCCCAAGGAAAAAAGCACGCACGGGGCGATAATTCAACGGGACGATCGTCAGTGGATTCGGAAAGGAACGGTCGCGAGCTCGCGGGGGAACGGGCGCTTTAAATCGAAGCTGAGGTGCGACGACCGTAAGAAATTCCAACGGTGTATCCTCGCCGAAATCCAGCTTTATTACGCAAGCCTGACGGCGAAGCTCCCGTTCTCGGCGGGAACGTTTATTTTTGTTGGGAATTCGCGGCACGACGCGCGCGTACGTTCTCGCCCGGGTATATATTTTTGTTCCCATAGAGATACGTCGAGTGCCCCCCGCACGTTTTCTCTTTCTCTCTCTCTCCCCAGCCCCTCTTTCTCTCTGTCTCTTTCTCTCTCGCCCTTCCACTCTCCTCTTTCGCAAGCAAGTGGAGCGAATTTACCGTGGTGCGGATACCGCTAAAGGCAACGCCATTAGACGTACGTACGTACGTAGGTATGTAGGTACGTACGTAGCACTGCGGTGGCAATACAGTCGAGAGTAAATATGGACCAAAGTAGATACCATTAAATCCAGACGCGATACAACGCCGGGGCGATACTCGCCAGACCCTGCCAGACAATCGTCCGTCTTAAATTGCCACCATTAAACGCACGTACGCGCACGTAAATCCCCGGCCGTGTCTCGGCCGCGATTCGATTATTCGCCCTGTAATTCGGCACGCCGTTGTCTTACGCGTTGTATACGCGCGTTACTATCACGCGCTTGTGTGTTTGTTCATTACGTTCGTTGCGTCGTGACGTTGATCGATCCTGCTCACGTAGCGAGATTACGCGCGTTGTTTGAGAAACGTGAGTCCGCGCGCGCGACGGGATAATCGCGCGGCGTGTTTCCCATTAAGTCGACGTCGAACTAAAATTGAGGGAGAGTTCCGCCGGAGTTACGGCCGCAAAAGGACCACGAGTTACGTGATAGTAATGAAGTGACGAAAAACTTGGAAATCGCTGTAACAAAGGTTTTCCCCGCGAGATAGAAGACAATCGCGACGGGAACGTTATCTCGACGAAATTTAAAAGGCCTTTGGATTTTGCGCGAAGAATGTAGCAGCGAGCTAATAGAAACTAGCCAATGTATGTTACTCTCCAAATTTTCCGAAATAAAATCTCAATTGGAAGAACAAACATTTATTTGGACCGATTATGAAATCACTCTATCGATCACTCGAAATCGTACGAGTGAACGTTTCATTTAAACTACAGTAGATTTCTCATATTAAGGGAACACAAAATAGTCTAAAATTATTATTTTTAGTCTCAAGCATATTTTTTGTTTGTTCTACATTTAACGTGAAAATGATAGTAATGACATGGATATAAAGTTATTATCGCCAACATCATAGAATTTAGTAAAAAATTTGTTTTTTTGATGATATAATTTAGAATAATTATTCTTTTATGTGATTATAAATTTTTTCATTACAAAGTGATTATAGTTAAAAATATTTTTTTCTCAATATAGGAGTGAATATTGCAATTGATTAGAAAGAATTTCTTCTCACGAATAAATTAGATTTACTTTTCAATTTTGAGTGAAAATATTTACGACGACTCAGATCGGGCAATTTACTTTATATGAGTGAAAGAGCACTCGAATTCGAGTGACTTGACTCTACCTCTCGAATAAAATTTTATCCCAAAAAATTTAGAATAAAATTAGAATGAAGAAACTTAGGATGAATTTAGAGAAATTTAAAGAACTCTTGCCACGAATATTTATAAGAATAAAATAGTGTACCAAGAATACCGTAAAGTTACACGCGTGAACCAACCACGTGTGTGCGAACATCAACGTATGCGACATACCACGTCGAGATAAAATCTGCTCTGAATCCATCCAGAAAAACTCACGCAAAAAGAGCATTAAAACTTTTTTGCGACTCGACGTATGCTCGTAAGCTTCGTCTCGTCGTCACAGATGGCCATTCTCGCTTTATAAGATTGATGAACGGAGATGAAATTCGAGACGGAGATCGCCGTTAGGCATTCTGTCTCTCCTTCCCTCCTTCTTTCTTCCCTCCCCCCTCTCTCTCTCTCTCTCTCTCTCTCTCTCTCTCTCTCTTTCTGTCTGCCTTGTAGTTAAGGGCAAAGTCTTGTCCACGATTTGAGAGTCGGACAGACTGCCATCAATCTTAAATGATTATTGCCTCATCAGCTGATTCGATTAAATCTTTTTCTCTCCTCGCCCGATCTAGCGCAATGGCGGCACTCATTTTTCTCGCCGAAATAGAAGTCAAATAAAACGAGCACGCGATACCCCATTCCTCATGATTCAGCTTACTACAGTAAAGCGAACTTTGCGATTCGCGATGGGATTAAAAATAATACAAACATACGTGATGACGCGGCTGGTTTCTGAAATCAACAGAAAGAAGAAAAATTGGCTCGACGATTAACAATTTTCACGATATATCTGCGATTCTAAAAGCTCTTGGATTTATTTGTCGGTAGTGCGAACTTTGCAATTCTCGATGCGATTGCAGATAACGCAGATATGCGAGACGACGCTCCACACCGGTCGGTTTCAGAGGCCAATAAAAAGAAAAAGAAATGACTCGACGATTAATAATTTTCACAATATATATGTATCTATGATTCGATTCTTTGACCGCAATAGCTGCTTGCATGTATGCGTGAGTGAACATGGCACTCGGCGTGTTTAACCGACACACGGCCAGCCTCGGGAGATAATTAGAACACACTATGAATGAAACAGTACAGAAAATGGAAATTTCCAGCGCGTATCACGATCAGCGTGTCGCATTGGACGACGACCGTCCAGGCCACGCCACGGGCACGAGCTTCCAAATTTATTTTTCGCAATAAATATTTTATTTCTTCCTAGAATATTTGAAAACTTCCACTCAGACACATATCCCGCTGAGGAGATATTCAGAAGTCCTCTTCATCTTCGTATCGCAAAGCAGTCAAGCTAATCGACCATCTTTTTTCGCGTCCTTCAGAGAGCCAAACTGCAAGCTGAGGTCTCTGAACGTGTCCAAGTGTCTTCTGGGCGGCTTGGACGCCGGCTGCTTAGGCGAGACCATCAGAAGAGCTCGCAATTTGGACGCACTGAGGGCTGCCGGGGCGTCGAGACCGGCCGACGTGATGCCTCTCGTGCTGGCTTTGACGGAGGCACCGTGTCTCCAGCTGCTGGACTTGTCTAGTCCTCGACTGGCCCTGGACGATCACCTCTCGAGGCTACTGTGCCACGCACTTGCCAGGAACACGACCCTCAAGCTGCTCAGTCTAGAGGGATGGACCTTCCGGATAGAGGTGAGTTCGCAGCAAATTCAATTGTGCGCTGTTCGCATTCATCATCCTGCGATTTATGAGAACACGTTAATTCTCTTTATGTAAAAATGCGTTCCACATAAGCTTTATGGGACTTTCGTGAAGTGACGAGAGTCCTGGCAAGTTTGATTTTTCGAGTATCCGAAGCTTGCGTCTCTTTGATGTGAAACTTCATAGAATTGAAAACTGCAATATATCAGCAAGGTTAAGGCACTTACGGGTCTCTTGATTAATAATATCCAAAGCGAAAAAACGTATGCTTAGAATCCTTGCAGGATTAAAGCTTATGTCCATAAAATGACACTCGTGGTCGATTGAGCGTATTTGTAAAGTATTCCGAAAATGTTCTCTTCACTTTAACGATCAAGGAATAGCCATAAAATTAACGTAAAAAATTATGAGGAGAAAAAGACTAAGAAGAATGGTTGTATATATGTCACTTAAATTTTACGGCTATTTGTTGATCGTTAGGACAAGAAAAAGATTTTCGGAATATTTGGCAGACGTGCTCAGCTGCTCCGAAAATTACTTTGCGGATATATCCTTTTATTTTGCGAGGATCCTGGTCAGGCATTTTCTCGCTTGTGACGTTATCAATCGAGAGTCTCGCAGCAAAGGATTAAGAGCTTTAACGAGAGCTATAATCCGACGCGATAACTCGACTTACTCGTCGCGCTTGTTTTACACATCGACGCCCTAGTCGCGAAAAAATAACTTTTCCCAAAGGACGACGGCTTATTTTGTGCGGAGTCTCGCACTTTAAGAAGCTCTTCCGAGATTAAGATCCGTCAGAAAGCAAGAATTTATCCGTCAACGATCCCACCCTCCTGCGTTTCTCCTCGCGGAGAAAAATTCCGGCTCCTCGAAGGAGTCGAGAGAAAATCGCGGCTATTATACCGAGGATAAACAGCGCGTACATAAAGCAGCCGACCGAACGTCCAGCTTCCTCGTAACGTCATTTATTTTCGCGCAGCGTTGCGCAAGGGAGGGAGGAGGAAAACGGCGAAGCAATCCACGAGGACGACATCGCGCAGGAAAGGAGGAAAGAGGGGTGAGCGAACACCAGAGAGAGATAGAAACGGCGATAGGAATAGAGACAGAGCACGCGCTCGCGAGATGGGAATAAGGAGGAAGTAGAAGAAGCGGGAATTATTTTGCTCTTCCGTGCGGGCGTGCAATTTCGAAAAGTGCAGCACGGTAATGTCTCGCATCCGCGAAGCGGAGCTTACAATAGCGCGAGCACGCCAGAGAGACCACGTGTAGCCCGAGAGAAGAAGAGAGAGAGAGAGAGAGAGAGAGAGAGAGAGAGACAGAGAAAACTGAATCCTCAACTAGTAGTCGCGATAATAATGCCTGAAAAGTTCTCGTTCGTGCACCATGCCATTGAAGACTACTTTTGTTCGCTAAAACCGCGCGCGTGCTACTCATACAGGTCGGAACCAACGTGATTCTGCTGGCCGGAAAGTTAATCCCGCGTGGAATCAACATAACGTACACTTAATTTTAATCGACATTCCGTCGTTAGGCGGCTGACTGATCGACTGTAGAAGGTCACTCTCATTTTATTATACAAACTATGCTACATGCGCGGCTGGATCGACTCACCTTCGGCGTTTTGGCTAACGGGGAAGTGTCGATTAAAATTAATGTCTGCGCATGACGCTAATTTATTAACATCAATTATTCTCTCCGTAGTATGCCTCGCGGCGTAGTATGCCTCGCGGCATGCTCACCAGCCCGTGTCGTCAGGTGACGCAAGACTGCGCGATATTTAAATGAACACACGTAATGCGTCGCGCGTCACTATTCCTCGACGGTATCGGTCCTGCAGCTCTCTGACGATAAACACGATACATAGTCGAGAGGCTTGTTTTAATTTTGAATTGTCTTATCGAATTTTACGGGTATCTCGAGTAAAAGTTTCTCAAATTTTTCCCAGATATAACTGAATTCCAACTAGAATGTCTGAATCTGTCTGATATAATTACTTATCCCACACACATACACATACACACTGTGATACCAATTTCTTTCATACTTCAAACTTATAGGTTTTCTATCTGAAATCAAAATATAAATAGTGTGGAAATTCGCTTTGTTTTTTTGGTAAGCAGAATTGATATATTTTATAGAATTAAATGTGGAGTTTTATTTTAGCAACTAATAAATTCAATAGAACGTAAAGTGAAGGTAAAAGATAAGGGATATTTAAATGTGAATATTTACATTTTTTATGTATCCTTGCTTAGAAAGCATAAATATTCTCTCAAAATGTTTTATTAAATATTCCGTTCAAGTCTAATGTAAAATAAAAATTGGAAAAAATTTTTGGGAAAAGCGAATGAAATCTTTTTAGATTTCTTCTCTGATGACTCGCGTTTTTGAAACATTATACTTGCAATCAAAACCTGACTCTATATTCACGTTATTTAGATTTCGCGATCAAAGTCCATAATTTTTTTTTTTTTTTTGGAAAATCAGACTGAATTTCGCAATTAGATCTACAATTATTCCAAATATTCCCCATGTGATTCGCTTCACACAACAAACGAACGCTGGAATGCTTGAGCTTCGTAGGAAATGAATCATCCTCCGTTACAGTCAACGACTAAGTATTTCCGTGTCACGCGCGGAATCTATAAAGCGAGGAGACGCGGAGGGGCTCGTTCGCATCGAGAGGGAGGAAAATGCAATATCGTCCCGATACAAAGCTTTTCAGTTAGACTCGCGAGTCAATATTGTTTCCATTTCGTTAAGCTTTGAGACGTCGGAAAGAGCGCCGGGCTAGTGGAGGTGAGGGGTGGAAAGAGGAAGATCGGTACCGCGGTATGCGTTCACAGTTTGCGAGGCTGCACCCTCGGGATGCGCCCTCGAGCTTTCGCAGCAGAAGAAGTTATCGAACGTTTCGAGAGATCGACGAAAGGCAGAGGCTGTCTTTGGTCTGCCAACAGTAACTTCGTAGCCCGTAAAAGGAGTCGACTGGAACTTCGCGGTTTTCCATCGAGTGTCCTTACCCGTTAGATCCGGCCTGTCTGCTCTGTCCGTCCGCCTGCCCGACCGGGAAATTGCCGGATAAAACATTCTTGTAACTTCTAACTAAACTAACTTTTTTAATCACTGACGTGACGTCAAAGCGACGTAGCGTGGCACGATCGTGTAACCGAGCGGGGAATGCTCCTTGAATTACGGTCGGACGTCTTGTTGTGAGATACTCTGATTTCCAAAAGCACGACTCGTAACTACGGGCGTTGAATATGAATGAAGCACGAGTCGCTTTGTGAATTATTTCAAGAGACGAGTCGTCGAACGGGGGGAGGGGGAGCATCGAAATTCTAAATTAAGACTTCTGTTCCCTTGGTCATCTTAATCGATGACATCAGAAACGAGAAAATATAAAAGCCGTAAAATTAATGTCACATGCAACCTACCATTTAATCAAGTCTTTGTCGCGTTTATTTTATAGCTATTTATTGGACATTAGTGCGAAAGTTTTCGAACTATTTTACTCGAACAAATTTACTCATTTTATCACGAGTGTCATTCTATGAGCATATATATTTATATATTTATTTATATTTATTTCGATATTTTATTCTATATGAGTATAATATTAATAAAGAATATTCTATATTTTATTCTATGGCGAGAGTAAAATATGCTATTTTATTCTATTGTTTTTTTCAATATGATTTACAAGAATTTCGAGCGTATATCTTCGTACTTCTGATATCATTAATTGAGATAACCACAATACAAAAACAAGAGTCTATTAAGATATTACAAAACTGGATAAATATTAAAATAATTCTTATAATTCACAGATATGTCGAAAAACTCGAAAATTTATAAAATAGCATGTCTGTCTGTTCTCTGTACACCCCTAAATCTTTTTCGACCAAATTTTACATAGTTATTCTCTTGGATCCTGTGGAAAATATAGGCTATGTGAAATCTGGACACTCCATTTCTTCCCCGTGAATTCCATCCCCTTGACACTTGTGATAACCCGAGCAACGCCAGGTAGTTTCGGCTAGTGTGATATAATTAAGAGAAGGAGATAACAAAATCAAATAATAATAACGAATCAAAGAATATTCCCGCTTTACGGAAAAATTAACGACGATGAAGGGATTGATTCTATCTGCATAATTTGTAGAAAATCATTTTCTACATTTCGCGAAGGGATTAAACGCAGTATTTGTTAACAATGTTTAGCTTGCGCGTGCTCGCCGCGCGTATTTGTCGCTATTTATTCAGCCAGCAAATATTGTTTGTACGCTCCTGGCCCCGAGCTTCCGGCAAGCTACCGGTCGCAATTAAAGACTTTCAAAGTGTGCTAACGAGTGCGGCCGCTTCTGTCGTGGCGCAACAGTCCCGTGCGTTTAATCGCGACGTTTAATCATATTCATAACGGCGAGATTCTGAAACGCTCACTCTCTCTCTCTCGACCAGTCTCCACCGCAAACTATCGAGCGGCGAATATTGGTCTTATGTTGCTCTCTCAATTTCAATTTAAGACACGTCACGTTTATACGCACCAAGTGAAATGTGAAACAACTTTCTCCCGTCTATTGTATCGAGGAAACACCCTTGTCGAAATTTTGCTTCTTCAAATTCTATTAGATTCCATTGCATTCGAACGGAGAGTTTTAAGATGTAATACTTTATATATTATCCCCTTTCTGTATAATTCTATGAGAGAAATTAAGGCAAAAACACCAATACTCGAATACGTACCTATTCCTGGACATTCCTATTGTTTTGTCCTTTAAGGCTCCTGGTCCCTCGCATTGTCTATCTCTTTTTAATGACATCAGAAACGAGAAAATGCATGCTAAAAATTCTTGCAAAATACGTTAAAATAAAAATATATATTCGTAAAGTAACACTCGCAATCGATTAAACAAATTTATAAGATATTCCGTGCATTCCCCTTTTGCTCTAACAATCAATAATTTGTCGTAAATTAACGTGACATATAA